ATGTGTTTAACTATATAATATTAAAGACTCATAGCATGATGCAATCACACTAATCTCTTGCTCCTATTGGTTTGTGCCCAAATAACAACTTTGCTTCTAAACCTTTCAATCTTCTAAGATAAGTTTTCCTCTTTCAGTTATACCCTAAAACAACTCATGCCTATCATGCGGTCTGCTTATAAAGGCCATGGGAGCCTTTCGGCTTCCTTCCATCTAGTTTTCTTCTTAGTCATAATCACTCTGGCAGGTACTGTCACCAAGAAAGCTATTGTTGAGTGGTCACCCAATGGTCAGCCGTGAGTAGCTTGTAGTTATCTTATAATAGATTTTGACTAATCATCATGTGCTTTAAGATTTCGCGATCCTATGCTCGATCATAGCGCTTTGGTCGAACTTCATCTTCTCGATCGCATCGTGTTCGTTTGCGACAAGAACATACCAGCTGTCATTTATCGGGTTGGTTCCAGCAGTATTTGTTCATTCATTCAAGCAACCTTTTCAAGTTTACCATATACATATTCATTTTTTCAGCTTTGATGCCAATCGTGTACTTTATTTGATTTGAAGATTCTAGTGGGTTAAAATGTCGCCCTCAACTTATGCCAAACTAAAACTAGAAACTCTTCGTTTCCATTTTTGAGTCGTCTCTCCTCATTATCCCGACTGATGCCCTCGTTCTCATCATGTTTTTGCTAATAAACCCTTTGATTTTGAATTCGTGCATGTAATTAGATCTACTCACCTATTTTTCTTTTCCGTTGTTACTGGATTTTGATAGTTTATAAGGAGTTTAGGTATCCGAGGAGTCGTTCGATGAATGTAAGTACGACTTATCAGCCGAATGGATCGGTGAATGCTCAGCTGGTACGAAGTACGTTACAGTCACGCTGAGGTCTATTAGTGCAATTCCTACACAATCTGCGTACAATGCCAATACAACCTATTTTTTCACGTGTAAGTATTAATCTACCACGTTTAGCTCATAGAGTAACAAAATCTTATTTTTTGTGCGCGTGCAATACGTATCACCGTTTGAACCGTCTCATTTCATTTATTCATTCCATTCTATCACGTTTGGTCTGAGTTTTGAATAGGTCGTGCTAACTCAGATTTTATCTGGCTCTGAAGCGTTTCAAAACTTCCATTTCTAGCTTTCTCCTCCGGAACAAGATCAGGAATCTACGAAAAAAGTGGAGCACTCTGTCTTATGG